CATAGCGGCGCCTCTCAAGGCTCTGGACGTGCAGTTCAACTTCCTTGCCGGCTCCTTCCCCGCCCTCGGCCTCGCCTTCTGCTCCGCCCGCATCAACTGCTTTGCTTCCACCGCCAACTGCAAGCACCCCACAAGGCCCACTGAGATCCAGCGCGCAGCAGCCGCCTGTGCCATCTGCAACACCACCAACGCTCAGGGCAAGCTCTGCAGCAACATCATTGGTGGTGGGATCTGCAGCGTCACTCCTCCTCCCGCCCTCCTGCTCCCACTAGGCACCGCCAACAGTGCCTCATCGCCCGTGCTCCCTCTGGTCTGCACCTCTGCTGCAAGTGTGCCCATGGATGCGACTCAAGCCGCTGCGCTGATGAATGTGAAGGTGGCGCTGGGAGTGTCGTTTGCAGACTGGCGGGTCGATGCCCTCTGCACCCTCGTGGGCTCGCCAGTCCTGGCCCCCAATACGTGGACTGGCGTCGCCTGTGACGATTCCGGGAAGGTTCTGCGAGTGTGAGTGCCCTGTCTACTTCCGAGTGTGAGTGTTGTCTGTATGATCGTACCAAGACTTGCAACAAGGTGCTGTGTTGGAAGCATGCGTCCTCTCCTGCTGCCTCTATCTTCCTGCCTGTCTCCCAGCAGCAAGCTTTTGAGCCATTGGTTTCTCTGCACATTCTGGCAATGATATATTACTCACTTCACTGTTACCTTTTCTTGTATCCACACATCATGGTCTTCTCACTTCATGTGCACCGCAATCACCACACGCAGGTCTCTCAAGGGGCTTGGACTCACAGGCAGCATCCACTCAGAAATCTCCAAGCTCACCACCCTCACCGTGCTGTGAGTAGCCTTGCGCATTCAACGCGTATCCTTCCACAGCCAAGCATATTCCTCACTTAGGGTCCAGGCACAGTACAACACAGGCACTTTCTTTCCGTCTTCCGGAATTCAAACTTAGCTAACTCATCAGGACATTGCCCAGCAAAGCCTGTTCATTGGATCATGTGGATTGAATTCTCCTTCCTGCATCTCCCACCGCTGCACCATTCTTCCCTGAACCGCTTGCCCTGCTGGCACCACAGTGACCTGCAGTCCAACCTGCTGGAAGGCAAGATGGACGTCTTCACTGCCAACATCAAGGCGCCTCTTGTGCTCAAGGAGCTGTCAGTCCCTGCCCCCCATCCACCCAATCCACTCATCTGCGCTTTTTTAAGTTCTCCTACCTGGGCATGAAAAATTGGCACACCTGAACATGGTGTTTGCGTTGTTGTGGTTTTTTTTTGTTATGTTTTTTTTTTTTCCCCTTTGGTATTTTGTTGCTCATTGCTTATGGTTTCAAAAACCAGCTCATTTCTTGCTGTGGTTTCCCTCCGTCCTCCCCACTCAATCAACCCCATCCCCTGTGCACCCATGCAGCTACCTGCAGTACAACTACCTCTATGGCGCCTTCCCGTCAGCCCTACTCGCTCTCAAAACCCTTTCAACACTGTAAGTGGCCATAGCATGACTATCATGTGATCATGCTGATTTGCTGAAGCAGGCCCATTGATTTATATCACCTGGGAGACTAATGTTGGAAAGAAGAAGAAAAAGTGAGCAAGCATAATCACCAAAATTGCCTCCTCCCGACATTGCTTCGCTTTGCATGACCAACCCCCTACCACTCTCACGCGTAGCCTCTTCCCGACATCGCTTTGCGACCTTGCATCCCTTTAGCTTCTGCCTTATTTTTCATTCATTCTCACTCATTCTCTTCTCCTACTTTCCTCCTCCACGCCATCAGCTCCGTGGCCTTCAACTACCTCACCGGATCACTCCCCACCGCACTCCCCACCACGCTCGCCTCTCTGGACGTGCAAAGCAACTTCCTGGCGGGTTCCGTACCGGCCAACAGCATTGCCTACTGCGCCAGCACGGGCAACTGCCTGGTGGACGCGTCCAAGTGTGCATCACTGGGACTGGCACAGCGCAGCGCCGCTGAATGTGCCGTCTGTGGCTCCACCAACGGCCAGGGCGCTCTCTGTGCTAATGCCACCACCTGCCGGGTTGCTGCTGCTGGGGCTGGGATGACGACTCCCCCCACTGCGCTTTCTGCTAGTCTCACTCTCTTCTGCGAGGCTGTTCCCATGGACTTGGTCACAAGTGAGTGTTCTCTTTTGCTTCTTCTCTGCAGCTTTGTTATCTCCCGATTCCTTATGCTCTTTGGGTTGAAAGAGGGACGGATACAGAAACAGGTGAGTGTCCAGGCAATAAATCCTAGCCATGTTGTGCCAAAATCTTATAGAGATATGAGCTGGGGAGTAGTTTTAGATGATCGTGCCTCGCAAGGGAGACCTTATTGGCTGGGTTTCAGGATGTGATAGAGGCTTTGTGTTGCCTGCTGCAGCTGGTTACATCACCACGCCGTCCCTACATCCCCCCTTTCCTCAACTCATCCCTCCCTCTACCCTCCCTCCCCTTTTACCACCTTCACCCACCTCCCATGCGCCCCCTTGCCAGCCCAAGCCATGGTGGCCATCAAGGCCGCACTGGGGGTGACGCTGACAGACTGGGCTGCCACCCTGCCGTTGCTCAAGCCCTCCAGCCCCACCTCGCCCAAGTCGCTCCCTCGCAGCAGCAGTGTGCCGCTGGCAGGGTCTCTGGGCACGTGCACGTTGGAGGGGCAGACTCCCGGCACAGGCGCATGGACCGGCGTCTACTGCAGCTCCAAGGGCGTTGCTGTGGGCATGTGAGTGCTACATATGCTGCTGTGCTTTCTCGTACTGCTGTGGGTAAATAGGAAGTTGCTGTTGGGTTTCCACTGGGGCTTGATTGTGCTGCGCTGATGTAACCTGAGTGGATTGAGTGACACTCGCCTTCCCTCCCTCATTTGCTCCACTCTCTCCCAATATTCTGCTTCACTGTGCAGTGTGCTGCCAAATCAGAAGCTCAGTGGAAGCCTGTCAACGGAAATCACCAAGCTCACATCCCTCACCATGCTGTACGCCCTCCAAATCCTTTTCCATTGTACACCCTCTCATATCATCTTTTCTTTCCTGATACTTGCGTGCCTGCCAGCTTTCTGGCCCGTCTGCTCTCTCTTTTGATTGAGTCTTGCTTCTTCAAACATCTTTACGCCTGTGCACATGTGCGCGCATATGTATCTGCCTGTTTATGCATGTGAATGTCTGTGCATGTGCGTGCAGCGACCTGAGCTCCAATCTCTTCCAGCGCCGCCTGGATGTCTTTCTCTCGCTGGTCTCCACCCTCAAGGCACTTCAGAATCTGTAAGTTTTGCCTCTGTACACTGTCCCCATACGGTGTGCGGAATGCTTGTTTTTTTTGTGGGTTTTGAGTCGATTTTCCACCTTGACACTATGTTTCTCTCGATAATTCCCACTCACCGCAATCCTCCATACTCAAATTTCCCCTTCCCCTCGTACCCCATCCTCTCCACTCCTTTCTGCCATGCTCCTCACATCACATTACTTGCAGTCACCTGCAGAACAACTGGTTCTCTGGCTCCATCCCCTCCTCTCTCTTCGCTCTGTCTGCTCTTTCCTCCCTGTAAGCGATCCCCGCTCGAAACTCGTGAATGTTCCACCCTTGTACATCCTTTCTAGAGCCGCAAACGTCATCCTCTCCCAGCGTCTTGTACTTTCCCACTCATCTCTCCATTTGAAACACTTGCATCCTCACACTCTACTCGTTCTCGACACTCACGCATGACAAATGCTCATGGTGCTCCGTATGACCTGTTCTTTTCCCTCACCACTGCAGTGTCTTCCTTCTCCACCATTCACCATCCTGCCCTGCACTGCAACCACCTATTGCCGCAGCAAGCTAGCCACAGCTTTCCCGTCTCATCAATCCCGCTGCCACCTCCCTTTCCTCATCCCACTTCTTCCACACTTCTCCTAACCTTTCTCTCCACTTCTCCCTGACCTTTCTCACACCCCCCTAACCTTTCTCCCCACTTCGCCCTCTCCACTTTTCCCTAACCTTTCTCCCCATTTCTCCCTCCCGACTTTTCCCTTACCTTTCTCCCCACTTCTCCCTCCCCACTTTTCCCTAACCTTTCTCCTGCCTCCCCCACCGCCACCCACAGCAAGCTGAACCGCAACTATCTGACGGGCACAGTGCCGGCGTTCAAGACTACCCTCAAGGCCCTCAACGTGGCCAGCAACCTGCTCTCGGGCGCCTTCCCCGCCATCTCCCTCACCGCCTGCGATGCCCGCTCCAACTGCCTCTCCACCGCCACCAATTGCGCCAACGCTGCTGGCACGGCGCAACGGGCAGCCTTAGAGTGCAGCGTGTGTGGGTCCACCGATGCTTCTGGCGTTCTGTGTGGGGGAGGGCTGTGCGCCCCTGATGCCTCCGCCCTTGCTGCTTCCTCCACCTCCAACACGGACGGCCAGCCGCTGCTGCCACTGAGCTGCCTTGGAGTGCCCATGGATGCGGCCATGGGGTTGGCGCTGCTGAGTGTGAAGGCATCGCTGGGTGTCACGTTCACGGATTGGAATGTGGATGCGCCGTGTGCACTGGCAGGGCAGGCCGTGGTGCCGGGCTCGTGGTCCAGCGTTGTGTGTGACGCCACCGGCAAGGTCCTCACCCTGTGAGTGCAGGGGGGCTGCCTCGTATCTCACCCTTCTCGTTGTGATGTCCATCATGCGCATTTGAACCATTATGTACACGTCATGCTGCCTTTTAACCTTGCCACGTTCTCCCTCGTTGGTGACCTTGTGCTACATACCCAATCACCATCTTGTGCCACACACGCATGCAGCAAGCTGGGCGATCTGCTGCTGCCAGGATCCGTCAACTCCTCGGTGTCAACACTCACCTCCCTCACTAGGCTGCAAGCTGCACCTTCTTTGATTTTCCAACGGCTGAGAGCTGTGGTTTATTAGCTTTCATTCACTGCGTGCACTTGGCAACTCAAGTTGCATTCTCTGGTTCTCATGTAGTTACATGTTGACATACTCTCATCAACACATGCTCACATGCTCTCACACAAACACGGTCTCATGCTCACATGCTCTGAGGTGCACGTGTGTGGGCTGTGCCATGCTGCACGTGTGTGGGCTGTGCCATGCTGCACGTGTGTGGGCTGTGCCATGCTGCACGTGTGTGGGCTGTGCCATGCTGCACGTGTGTGGGCTGTGCCGTGCTGCAGCGAGCTGGACAACAACCTCTTCTCAGGCCGCCTGGATTCCTTCCTCACCCCTCTTCTTCCCGTCAAGACCCTCAAAGTCCTGTGAGTTGCACTTTAATCACACTTCATTCCCAACACAACCACACTGTACCCATCAATTTTAACTCGACGGCACCATTGCACCCACCTGGTTTGTCTTGCCTTGCTTGCCTGGATTCGACCTCTTTCCCATGTCACCCCATGACAAGCATGCAAGAAAGATCATACAAGGCAGGGCAGCCCTTGTATGGCACGCGATATTATGTACCGCATACTGTGTGATTTATCACCCCTCTCTCCCTATTGTTGCCGTCCGTCACCCCCCCTTCCAGCCACGTGCACAACAACTACCTGTCGGGCGCCGTGCCACCATCACTCACTGCTTTCTCCGCCCTCTCTGAACTGTGAGCTCTCTCCCCTCGCCTCTTTCCATGTTCCTTGAATATCGAATCTCGTTTCAGTTCAGTCTCTTTTTATTTCAGCATATCCTCTCCCTCCCATCTCTGACTTCTTCGTATTCCTTCCTCCCTCTTGTCGGCATATGCTCACATAATCACCATGTGAACCTTTTTCATGCCCTTCCCCTTTACAGCAAGATCCAGGCCAACTATCTGACGGGCAGCATGCCGGCAACGCTGCCGGCGTCCCTCAAGTACCTGGACGCATCAGGGAACTACCTGGTGGGAACGTTCCCCACCACCACCACCACCTACTGCAGCTGCGCCAGCAACTGCTTCAAGGACAGCACCAAGTGCACCAGCGGCAGCACGCAGCGAGCAGCAGCAGCATGTGCCATCTGCGGCAGCACCAACGGCACCGGGGTGCTTTGTAATGGCGGCACGTGTGCTCCCAGTTCGACGGCTCTGATCGCAGCAAAGACAGTGAATACGGGGACGGCTGAGATGTACTGCGCGGGTGCTCCCATGGATGCTGCCATGGGTGAGTGCAGCGAGCACTGAAGGGGTTCAGAATGGAAGGGGACATGTGAGAAAATGGGTGCATGACGGAAAAGAGGAGGCTTGCCAGAGTTTCTGGGTGATCACACTTTCACTTCTTTATTTACTCCATCTCTATCTACCACATCATATTGAATCACATGTCACCTTGTTTCAACAATCAACCACACTCCCATTCTCATCTCTCCCCTGTCCTGCACTCCTCTCTCCCCTATACCTCCTAGCTGCGGCGCTACTGAGTGTGAAGGCATCGCTGGGAGTGTCCTTCACGGACTGGGCGGTGAGCTCGCCGTGTGCCGTGGAGGGAGTGGCAGCACCGCCAGGCGCGTGGTCCAACGTCCTCTGCGACCCCACCTTCAAACCCGTCTCCCTGTGAGTTGGCTGGTCCCCGCTGCATTTGGCTGGATCTCACTTAATATGGCCGTCCTTGCCGTCATGATTCACGAGGTTTCTGACCGTTGGAAGTTTCTGCATTGGAAATGTCGAACCTTTCGAGTTCCCAGTATCCTCGCTGTCAAGATTCATGAAGCAGAGGCTCTCAGCGTGCTGGACCTGTCTCCAACCCGGCGGCATCCCATGTAGCCATGCTGCTGCCTCTAAGGCTTGAGTCTGAATGTTCTGAAGGTCAACCGAGGGTTCAAAACGTTGGAATTTCACCCCAATTTCAATCTGAAGGTCAATTGAATGTTCTGAATGTAAATCAGGGTTTAAAACGTTGTACGTTCAACCGCCATATCTGTCTTCTCAGCACCATTTCACCCCAATTCCAATCATTGCTGCTGTTTGTGTCTGATATTTTCTTGCTGTCATTGGATGGGCAGCAAGCTGTCTTGTCTCAAGCTGATGGGGAGGATGCACTCAGATATCTCCAAGCTCACCACCCTCACCTCTATGTATGTATAATTTTCAAGCGTTCCAAAGGTATCTTCTTCCAACCTCACAGTCCTTATCACCCTGGAAATAACCACATTCAAGCCTCCCACTCTTCATCTAAAAAATCGCGTAATCTATAACCACCGTGACTGTGTTGCTCACTTTTCTCATTTCCCTTTTCTCCATATGTCCGTACCACATTGTCTTGTATTCTGTTATTGTTAAACTTCCATCTCTTAGTTGTACTCCCCTTACCCCATCTCGTTAAATCCACGGTTTCCACGGTTGCATACCCCCACTGTATCCTTTACAGTGATATCCGCAGCAACCTATTACAGGGGCGTCTGGACGTGTTCACAACCTATTTCAGCGCGCTCAAATCCCTCAAGCAAGCGTGAGTGGCGTGGCCTGGCGTCCCTTTGCAGAGCAGTGCACATGAGTAGGGACACGAGCACACACATGGAGGCATGGGTGCGTGGGAGGCATGGGCGTCCTGCATGGGGTTGCCTGGGCCACTCCTCTTCTCCCATCACTTTTATCCTCCCCAAACTGACTTGCCTCCCATTCCAAACTGCCGCCCTGCACAAATTGCCCTCCTGCACAAATTGCCCTCCTGCACAAATTGCCCTCCTGCACAAATTGCCCTCCTGCACAAATTGCCCTCCTGCACAAATTGCCCTCCTGCACAAATTGCCCTCCTGCACAAATTGCCCTCCTGCACGTATTGCCTGCCTCCTCCCTCCCAACCCTATCGCCTCTCCCATGGCAGCTACTTCAACTTCAACTGGTTCTCTGCGTCCATCCCCTCTGCCCTTGTCGGCATCACCTCCCTCACATCATTGTGAGACCTCCTTGCCTTCTCTGGGATTTGCTCCCTCTTCTCTGCCCCATGCCTTTGCGCCTACTGCCCCATTGCCTTTGCTCCTTTGTAGCTGCGGCTGCTGCTGTTTCCTCAGTCCCACTGCGCTACATTTTACTCTTACGCTCAATCACTCTCAGGCGCTCTCACTCACACCTCACTCACTCTTTTTTTTTTTGTTTGTTATCATCACCCTATGGATCCTCCTCTTCAGCGGTGCGAGCTACAACTACCTGTATGGCCCCGTGCCCAAGCTCGGCACGGCTCTCAAGACCATCGACGTGCAGAAGAACTGGCTGTCCGGCACATTCCCCGGCACTGGCTTCCTCTCCTGCTCTGCCTCCTCCAACTGCCTCGCCACCACAGGCACATGCAACACCACAGGCACCACGCAGCGCCCATTGGCTTCTTGCGCCGTCTGTGACTCTCCCACTGGGGCTGATCCCATCTGTGCCGGCGGCACCTGTGCTCCCAACACTGCCGCCCCTCTTGCCACCTCCACCACCCCCACCGCCTCGTCTCCCATTCTGCCGCGCTTCTGCGTCGGCGTACCTTTGAACGCAGCGCAGGCGGCCATTCTCCTCTCAGTCAAGACAGCTCTCGGGGTAACCTTCACCGAGTGGTCTGCCAGCACCATTGCAGTAGCCCCCAAGGCCAGGACTCTTTTTAGCGACATCAGCAACGGGTCAAAGGCGCTGAATCGACGACGCTTGGCAGAGAGTGAAGCAGGCAGGGAGAGGGTGCTGCTGGTGGCTCCCCCTTCAGGGCAGCCGGGCCTGTGCACGATTCAAGGGAAGACGCCCGTGCCTGGCTCCTGGCCGGGCGTGTTCTGCTCTTCTGCTGGCATGGTCGTCGGCCTGTGAGTGCTGCCACTCCACTCTCCATAAGTTCTGCTGATGTGCTTCTTTCTAGCACCATCGTTGGCTGGTGTGCGCCACGCGTTGCATATCGCTCTGTCATCACGCCTGACTCAGATCCAGCACTTCGACTACCCCTTCGCTTCCCTCTATGTGTGCCGCTCCCTCTGTCCCTTCTGCTCCTTCTCCCTGTCCCTCTGTCCATTTTTCTGCTGTCTCTGTCTGATGGGCAGGGATCTCCGAAATCTCCTGCTGCGAGGCACCGTGCACGCCGACATCTCCAAGCTCACCACACTCACTGCGCTGTAAGACCTTTGGACATCGGGATTGGGGTCTGACCCAGGGTATGAGGGTAAGGATATAAAGTATAATCAGTGCAATGTGTCGCAAATGTTAGTACTGGAATGCCCTCAGGCAGGGATGTTCGTGGTTAAAAAGGATAGGACAGGAATCCAGCGCTCTGTGTGTCGGGAGGTAACACTCCTAGTCGCAACATGCACTCATTTGCATTCTCTGTCACACTATCACAGGTAAACTTTTTCACTGTCACACAGCATTACCTCATGGTTCCATCCCAATACTCACGAGTCACACCGCATTCTGCACTACCCAGCCCCCCCTGTCCCCACTCTCCTGCCATGTCCTCCATTCTGCCTTCATAATGCTCGTTTTGCCTGTGCATTCCCCTCGTTGTGTCCACCCTGTGTGTTCCCCTTGTTGTGTCCACCCTGTGTGTTCCCCTTGTTGTGTCCCCCCTGTGTGTTCCCTTCGTTGTGTTCCCCCCGGTGTGTTCCCCCCCACGCACAGCTACCTGTCATCCAACCTCTTCTTCCAGCGTCTCGACTCCTTTGTGGCTCCTATCCTGCCCACGGCGTCTATCAAGGACATGTGAGTGCCTCTCCTGCCCACGGCCTTCTCGGGGGCCTGTTAGTGTTCAAACTACTCTGAGACTATCACCACGCATGTGATGCTATAACTGCTCTGAGACATCTCAACACACGCTGTTGTGTGGCTCCTGTCATGACTGAAGTCGAATCCAGCTTGAGGAATCTGTGAGTGCTACCGATTCCGTGCACTGCAGCCTTTAGGGCCAATCCTTCTTTGTTCTGATTTGGATTTCTGGTTGCCCCTTGTGTGCATATGTATGTGTGCATGTGTGTACGCATCTGATTGTGTATGCATCTCTGCATGTGTGTGCGCCTTTACGTGTCCCACCAGGGCGGTGAGCTTCAACTGGCTCTACGGTTCTGTGCCATCCAAGCTCGTGACCATGGCCGCCCTCTCCAATCTGTAACTTTCTGCGCTTGAACCCTTTTATACATTCCAAAAAAAAAAATCACATGACCACACACTCAATCCTGTTGCTTAATCATTGCCGCCTTGTCCTCTTCCCCACCCCCAATCCACCATTTCTTTCCATTCCTTCTTTGTTCAACCGTATTCCTTTTCCAACTGTGTTCGAAATCGATACTGATCATCTCCCTTCCATTCTTCCACCTCTCATCCTTCTCTTCCTGCTCTTCACAACCACCAGTCGCTTCAGCTACAACTATCTGACAGGCTCGCTGCCCAAGCCCGGTGCCACTGTCAAGGTTATCGACATGCAGGCCAACTTCCTCTCAGGCACTTTCCCCACGGCCACACTAGCCTGCAACACTCGCCTCAACTGCTTCTCCAACGCCTCAGGCTGCTTCAACCTGGATGGAACGGAGCAGAGGGGAGCAGCGGACTGCAGCATTTGTGGGTCACCAACGAAGCAGCAGGGGCTGTGTGGAGGTGGCACCTGCTTGCCTGTCCTCCCTCCTTCCCTCGCTAAGGTTCCCAACAGTGCCGTTGCTCCCACTCTCACGATGACATGTGCTGCAGTGCCCCTTGATGCAAACTCTGGTAAGCCCCCTCCCCCTCTACCCTCCTACCACACATGGGTGCGTGGACCATGTGATTCCCTTCCTTCCGTGCCGACACGCATAATCCCACCTATTTTGGTGTGTAACCATCCCTTGCTGGAAGCCCATAGCATCAGAACACCACCGATCACTCTTCCTCGCTGGAATCCCATTCACCACACTGCTGTGCCGGCCTGCGTGTATCCACTCAGCCTTTTCTCCTCCTCTGTCCTCACGTGCACTCCCACCGGCAGTGGCGGCAATGCTGAAGGTGGGGGCGGCTCTCGGGGTCAGAGACACGGACTGGCGCAACGGCAGCAAGTGCAACATTGAGGGGCAGAGCGCCAACCCCAAGTCGTTTCCGGGCGTGTGGTGCAACGCCAACGGCACCGTCCTCAACATGTGAGGCTCCTTTACCCCCTAGCTAACTCATTCTCTCTGTGGCCTGCAGTGATTCTGAGTGTCATCTTGCTAACCCTATGCCTGTGATATTCCCAAGCTGCCTGCTATGTCAAAAACCTCCTGCTAACCTCATGCTTTCTGCTAACTTTATGCCTGCTAACCCCATGCCTCCTGCTACCCTCATACCTACCGCTATCCCATGGCAGCACGTTGCCCAACAAGGCACTGAGGGGCATCATCCATGCCGACATCTCCAAGCTCACTGCCCTCTCTTACCTGTACGTCCCAGCCCTCGACCTCAAACTCATGAATCCTGTGGCAATATCAAGTGCATTATCCCTTCCGTATGGATATCACGGTCGTCTGCTGGGGCTTTACATCAATCCCTGTTATGCTCTTCACTTTCAGCATCTCGTCCCTCCTTACACCCGTTCTCTCTCTTCATCTTCCTCTCCCACGCCCACTCGCAGCGATCTGTCCTACAATCTCTTCTCTGGTCAGCTCTCCAAGTTCGTCTCCAACATGCTGCCGCTCACCACCATGGCCACTCTGTGAGTTCACTTCTACACACCAAAGTAGCCCGTTTTTGAATAGTTTATTGTCTACCTTGCCGCTTCTTACTCTGATAACCTGCATCCCTATGATCTCCTCATGTGCTTATCATTCGTGTTCTTCTCAATTATCTGCTTTTCCTTAATGTTATTCTCACTCGTGCTTTTTTACTACGTGACTGGTGTTTTCAGGAACCTCAACTCCAACTATCTCTACGACAGCATTCCATCGGCTCTGGTCAACATGCCTAAACTCACAGAGCTGTCAGTTTTGCCAAACCCATTCTCATACCCAGGCTTCATGCTTCATGCATATGCCATGTCATGCCCCACACCTATGCCATATGGCCAAGAACCGCTCCTGATCCAATGCCCATGCAGCCATCTCTTGCCTACTCCGTTACCCGTGCCCATGCTCATGACCATTCCCGAGCTCATTCCCATCCCAATGCTCATTCCCATGCCCGGTCTTGTTCTTGTGCCTGTGCCCATACCCATGCCTATTCCCCTCATTTCATTGAATCTTATCCTTTCACCACTTCACTTCGCTCCCCCACCCCTCCTCACAGCCGGCTGTCAGCGAACTACCTGACGGGCACGCTGCCAGCCATAACCACGCAGCTGCAGGTGCTGGCCATCGCCAGCAACCTCCTGGCGGGCGCCTTCCCCACGCAGCCCTTCCAGCTGTGCGACATCCGCAGCAACTGCCTCTCCTCGCCGGGCTCCTGCACCAACGATGCCGGTGTGGCTCAGCGCACCTCCGGCTGTGCCTTCTGTGGTTCCGCCACGGGCGCCCCGCCTTTCTGTGCCGGCACCACCTGCACTCCCGATGTCGCTGCTCGCCTTGCTGCCGGCACCGTCAACACACCTGCTGCTGCACTCCCAGCCATGTTCTGCCAGGCCGTTGCTGTGGATGATAACTCTGGTGAGTTGAGGATCATGAGATGCGACACTCTTCTTAGCGCCTCAGCAGTTGATGTCGTTACAGTGGATGATAGTGGCATTTAGTTGAAAGTACCAATAGCTGCAGCAGCAGCAGCAGCAGCAGCAGCAGCAGTATTATCATCATAAGCTGCTGCATCATAAGATGGGATTCATGCTCTGGCTGGCCTCTCCTCGTTGCTTTCCAGTGTCTGCTTTCCACTTGCACCAAAATCAGTGCTCAGCCCATGCAACCCTGCTTTGCCTCATTCGAAATTTCTGCTCTACCTTTCTACCATCCACCCTTCTGCTCCTTCCCATCCCAACTTCCACTCTTCCCACCGATCCACCCTCTCGTCCCCCACGCAACATACTCCCTTGTTCTCCTCCCTCCTGCTCCTCCCTCCTGCTCCTCCCTCCTGCTCCTCCCTCCTGCTCCTCCCCCTTCTCCTCCTGCTTTTCTCCTCCACACTTTCTCCTCCCCTTCCCCCCCCCCCTCTCTCCCCCCCCCCCCCCCCCAGCGCTGGTGCTGCTGGCACTGAGGGCGGGGCTGGGCGTGAGTGCGAGCAGCTGGGCGGTGGACTCGCCCTGCACGCTGGCGGGCAACGCACCCGCGGTGGACAGCTGGACGGGCGTCGACTGCGACCTCTCAGGCCAAGTCCTTAGCCTGTGCGTGTGGGGGATGATGGATGTGTGTGGGCTATGTGTGTGTTTTGTGTGTACAACGTGAGTGCTATATGTGTGCTAGGGTGTTACTACTTGTGTGCAATGTGTCTCGCCTGCCCGCTGCCTCGCCCGCTGCTCCCGTGCGCCTCATCATCATGGATGTGTTTGGGCTATGTATGTGCGTTCAACGTGTGTGCAACGTGTGTGCAACGTGTGTGCAACGTGTGTTCAACATGTGTGCTAGATGTGTGCTAGGGTGTTACTATTTGTGTGCTATGTGTCTCGCCCGCCCGCTGCTCCCGTGCGCCTCATGCTGAATGCTTCTCATTCCTTGGTGCCTGGGTGACATGGGCTTGCTGACGTCACAACAGGGATCTTTCCAACATGAAGCTTCGTGGCAGCTTGCATGCCGACATCTCCAAGCTCACTGCGCTCACCAGCCTGTGAGTATCACTGCTTTTAACAACGCATGGTCCCGCTTCGATCCATCTTCCCTTACCTCGCCCAAAATCTCCATCATACCCATTCAAACGTATTCTGGTTCTATGCCATGCCCCTTGAACCTCACAACCTTGCAAGCTCGCATTTGCAACTCCCCATCCGTTTTCCAACACTCCCCTCTGCTCTCTCTCCCAATGCCTCTCTGCCCCTGTGCTCTTGTGCCCCCATGCTCGCAGCAACTTGGCGTCCAACCTCTTGGATGCGCACATGAGCGAGTGGGCTCTGCCTCTCACGGGTCTCAAGGCACTCAAGCAACTGTCAGTCCTCCTGCCGCCGCAGCATTGCATGCGCACCACACCAAGCCATTTGCACATCACCTATGATTGCATACCACCTTCCAATATTTCATGATTTTATGACTGCACTTTTCTCTTGTGCTTCTTCTCTGTCTCTGCCTCTGCCATCCAGGTCTCTCAACAAGAACTGGTTCTCCGGCCCTCTGCCCTCGTTCCTTCTCACCATGTCCTCCCTCTCAGCCCTGTAAGGACCTCCCTACCACAACCATCTGATCACACACACACACACACACACACACACACACGCACACACACACGCACTCACGCACACATGCACGCACGAACACACACACAAACGCACAAACGGACACACACACACACGCGCGCGCGCGCGCGCGCACACACACACACACACACACATCGTTTCCACTAGCCTTGCAAAACTCCACATCCAATGTTCGTCTCGTCACTCCTCACCACTCATAGCACCAGTCATAGCGCCCTCTCCCCACTCCACTGCTTATCTCATGCCTTCCCTTACTTCCCCCTTTCCCTCACGCCATCTGTCCTTCCTCCCCCTTCCTCCCCGGCCCCTCTCCCCCCCCGCCTTTCACCAGCAATGTGCAATTCAACTACCTCGTTGGTCCCATCACCGGCACTCCCTCTGCCTCCCTCAAGTCCCTCAACGTCGCCTCCAACCTCCTCACAGGAATCTTCCCAGCATCTTCCACCACCGCATGTGATGCACGCAGCAACTGCCTAGCAGACTCCTCCAAGTGCCTTGCCTCGGGCTCCTCCTCCCAGAGGCTCGCGTCTGACTGCACCCTGTGCGGTGCTGGGAGTTCCGGTGCTGTGATATGCAATGGAGGGGTGTGCGTGCCGGACACTACCGAGCCAATGGCTGCCCTCACACCTAACGATGCCTCGGCTACGTTGCTGCCCATGCAGTGCTCGGGTGTTCGCATTGACGCCACAGCAGGTGCGCCCCCAGTTTCCTCTTTCTGCTTTGCAGCCACCTCATACTTTTGGGACACTTGAAGACTTGTCAATACCACTCCAGGTATCTCACTCCCTGATATTCACGCTCTCAATATGCTCTTGCTGCATGTTTCCCCTCTCTCTACGCCCTCACTCCCTTGCTTCCATCAACATCTTCCCTAGCTGTTGTACTCTCCCCCCACCCTCTCCCCTCCTCACCCCCACCCTTCAGTATCGGTGCTTGGGAGTCTCAAGGCAGCGCTGGGAGTGCCTTACCCGGACTGGGGAGGGAACTCGCTGTGCACGGTGGTCATTGTTGCTTCCGGAGTCAGCAGCTCCTCCCCTGGCCCGAGGGACTTGGGAGATGTTCTGTGCAGCCCGGCCGGTGCTGTGGTGGAGATCAACCTCAACTCGCGCCAGCTGGCTGGGTCCATGCATGCAGATATCTCCAAGCTCACTGCGCTCACTAGCCTGTAAGTCCTGCTCTGTAAGGACGCTGCTCTGTAAGCCCAGTGATGTACGCTGCTCCCGTCCACCTCATGGTCCTCCCCACGAGTCCTCTACTTGTTTCCTTGGTCCATTTCACCTGCCGTGTAACTGTGCCACAACTGTAGCATCAGAATGCCAACCTCTCCCCTTCCACCCCCACGCACTTCTCCTCTTCCTGCCTTCCCCGTTCCTACCTTCCCCCATCCTGCCTACCCCAACCGAAACCCGTGTTTCTTCTCTCCTGCACCCGCCTCTGCCTTCCCCCCAGTGTCTTCCATACTAACTACTTGGCTGGTCGCCTGGATGCCTTCACAGCGCCCTTCACCGCCCTCACCAAGCTGGAGAACCTGTATGTCTTTCTCTTAAGCACTCTGTTCCTTTCTTTTCATGCTCCAATGCATCAACCACAATCCTGGTCCCCTCGCCCTCGCTCTCTGCCTTCTCTTGCGCCCACATTTTATGTATGCTCCTCATTCTCCTTCCGCGCAAATGTGATGTGAGGCACCTCGCATCTCACCAGTCTTCACTCGTCCTACCCCTATGGGCCTACGATACCGTTGAGAAATTTCAAATTCGATACCTGGGCCAACCCCCTCATCTTTCCTATCGTACATTTCCCATTACCCTCTCCCCCTCGACCCCTTCCCATCCACCTGCCCATCTATCCCTTCCCCTTATCGTCTTCCCTGTGTGCTGTGCAGTCAACTGCACTACAACTACCTGTTTGGGCCCATCCCCTCTTCTCTTATCGGTCTCAAGACCCTCTCCAAGCTGTGAGCTCACCACCTTCTTTTTACTGTGTGCCATGCCATAGCATGCCATGCCCAGTCGTTGCGTATCATGCTATGCCTGCATATGCCACTTCACCTACTTCCGCTGCTCCTCTTCCTCTGTGTATCCTTCTGCCTCGCACTTCACTCAACCTCCCCCTTTTCCCACTCATCCACCTTGCCTCCTTCCGCCAACTCACCCCTTCCTCCTCTCTCTCTCTCTCTCTCATCAACCACCCTGCTCAAGTCTGAAGGAAACGTTTCTTATTAGATGCACCTACCTACCTACCCAAGAAGTCTGTCGATCCACTAGACTCAAGCCCCTTCCCGCCTCACCACACTTGCGTCAACCCACAGGAGTCTGGGCTCCAACTACTTCACTGGGAGCGTGCCAGTGCCAGGCACTGCCATGAAGCACCTGGACCTCGAAAACAACTACCTCGTGGGAACCTTCCCATCTGGCTCCTGGCTGTCCTGCTCGGCACGCACCAACTGTTTCTCGAGTGCTGCTGCTTGCACGGCGGACGGAGGCAAAGGGACTGCTCAGAGAGCCACGTGCAGTATCTGCGGCAGTGCCGATGGCACGGGGGTGTTGTGTGGCGGCGGTGGTGCGTCCACTTGCCAGCCCACAGCTGCTTCCCTCGCAGCCCTCTCCTTGATCAACAGCCCCAATACCCCTGCGCTCCCTCTGGCGTGCTCCTTGCTGCCCGCTGTTCCCGTCAACTCCACTGCCAGTAAGACACCGGTAGCAGGTAGCATCGGGACACCTGGGCCACAGGCACAGGTAGCATCGGGACACGTCCCGCTCTGCACTTTCCAATTTGCATGGGCACTGGTGGCATGGGGATTGTCGCGTCACCTTAATGGCCTGCATGCTTGCATGTTCCTTTCTCATTCCGCACACACGCTCAGGTCACTGCTTCTTCCCCATTGATCTCTCTCCTTTTCCATTCAAAGCTACCGGTTCAATCCCCACTCTTTTCTTCATCCCTCTCACTTCCCCACCCACAGTGGCAGCGCTGCTGGGCATCAAGACAGCCTTGGGAGTGACGCACACAGGGTGGGCGGCAAACGCTGTCTGCACGCTGGCAGGGACAGCTGGCACTGTAGCGAGTGGGAGCCTGACGGGTGTGGAGTGTGACTCAGCTGGCAACCCCGTCAAGATGTGAGCACTTCATTGTTTTTATCTTCGAAAACTCATTGTGCAGGAGAGCTTGTTCTAAGTAAGGGATTAGCAATTGGTATCCTTACTAGTCTCGTGTGCGGCTTTTAAGAACTGTCTAAACATGGCAACCCTGTGAAGAAGGTAAGGTGTAAATAGTAAGGTGTTGAGTAAATAAATTGAAAATAAAGCAAATGCCAAAACGTGTAATACTCGACTCGTTTTCAGCCGACTCGTTTTCAAAACGAGTCGAGTGGAGTATTACTCGTATGAGTAATTTTGCCCCTAGGGCAGACATGTTACTCGTTGAAAAAAGCGAGTAATTCAATACTCTGTCCGAGTAATGAATTACTCGTTTTGGATCAAGTAATACTCGACTCGTTTTTGTCAGTATTCTTTTTTCTTGTTTTTTGTAGGTAATTGTACAATTCCCAGGCCGTGTGCTTACAGGGTGTGTGCTAAGGTATGCGCGCACATTGGCATGCGCGGGTTAGAGAGTAGTCTAGATTAGAAGACGTGTTAACAGATGTTTTTTCCCTTGCAGGTCGAGTAGGAACTAGATTGGTTGAGGGAGAAACTGAACCGTGAGGTTGACTCTCCCCCTGGATCCTTCCCTTTCTTCCTTGTTTGCAAGGTGGAAAAATACGATTGGCAAGAAAAACTACTGTTTCTCTCTATCATATTTTACGGTGCCTTTAGAAAGAAAAAAGGCGCTTTTTTGTTAGTCAAAATGTGCTTAAAGCTCAAAAAATCCCTTCGGAACACCTTTTGGTCCATCAGCAGCACATCTAACAGCCCGCAGATAACACCTTTTCCCGAAAATTTGAGGGATTGTTTCCTCCCAAATGTTATATTTTACTAAAATCATTTGTATCGTTCTTTATTTTCGTTCTTTACGATATGGTATTTAATGGTTAGCTTTTAAAAAACAAACACTTCTTTTTTTGCACCTTGCTTGTATCTTGCCTGCCGACCTATGCCAGCACTCTCAACAACCAGCAGCTGTTTGGAGTGCTTCCTGCTGATGTCACCAAACTCACGGCGCTAACTTACCTGTGAGTGCATGTATCCACATTCTGAAAGGATGCTTGTGAGAAGCTTTCCATGCATGCCAGCACATGCAAGCACCAAACTGCATATCATCTCTCACATTCATGTCCACATTCATGTTCATACTGTTGCCGTTTACAAAAGCAAAGCAACCAAGTTGTACGCATTCTGTGGTCAGCAATGTTAGCCCACATCAGGGCTAAGCAGGCAACCATGCTTATGACTCCACGCACCAATGCATCTAGTCAGAGTTTCCAACTTCTCTCATATCGTTCCCTTCCCTGTATTTATCTCTTGCAATCCTGCATCGCATCTCGATATTGTGTTCCCAATTCCATCCTCTCACCCTTCATTCCATCCTCCCTCCCTCCATTCTCTTACCCCGTCTGTGCGCACCGGGATCGCAGCAACCTGCAGTCCAACCAGTTCAGGGCACGCCTTGAAGATTTTGCGCAGAGGCTTCCAGCCCTTACCAACCTTGCAGTACTGTGAGTCCCTCGCCAACCTGCCAGTCCAAGAGAATTCTCACAATTGTCACTCACAATTGCCCTTTCACCACCACGATGGGTTGCGAAATCCCTTGCAGCCCTCGTAGTCTGGGTTTTGCTACTGCTTAAGCAAGCCTAGGCTACTGCGCCCTTGGCCTAGGATGTGGCAACCTTGCGTAGGATGCGGCGACCTTGCCTAGGATGCGGCGACCTTGCCTAGGATGCGGCGCCCTTCTATTGTGAACCACGGAGTTCCCTGCCCTGCAACCCTCGCAGTCTTTTGCCAGTCACTCATTCTCATACTCATTCTTTCTTCTCCTAATTGTCTCTCTACTCATTTCATTCGCATTGTCTCTAATTGTTCCTTACTATGTGCCCCTCTTATGCAAATGCTATCTGTGCTTCCCTGTGTCCCTGTGTCCCACTGCGCCCCTCTGCATGCACCCACCTCCAGCCTTCTGGACTACAACTGGTTCAAGGGCTCGCTGCCCCCGCCTCTCCTCGCCATGACCAAACTCACCCGCCTGTCAGTGCCGTGCCCCATGCCTCATACCCCGTGCTGCATGCCCCATGCCGCGTGCCCCGTACTGCATGCCATATGCCCTGCCCTGTGCCACTAAACTATGTTTCACGCTCTTATTGAACAAGCTTCCACACTATCCCAGCCTGCTCCTACACGTTGCATGTCATTATTGGTTCGGGTCTTGATTCTAACCCACGCATCTCACCACAACCTCTCACAACCTTTCCTCCCTCCCAACCACACCACCCACTATCTCCCCCCCCCCACCCTCCTTACAACTTATGCGATCCAGGAGCATAGCCTACAACTACCTGACATACCGCGTGCCACCAGTGTCAGCATCGCTCAAGGCAATCGTCCTCTCCAACAACTTCCTCTCAGGCACCTTCCCTGCCAACTCCGCCACCTCCTGCGTCTCTGCTGCCAACTGCTTCACCAGCACCACCACCTGCAGCACTCCTACCGAGGGGGACGTCACGGAGCAGCGAGCATCGGGGTGTGATATCTGCGGCAGTGCGAGTGGTCAGGGCATGCTGTGTGGCGGCACAGGGGTGTGCACGCCCAATGCCGCTGCGCTGTTCACTGCCAAGACAGTGAATACTGCTGCTGCTGCTGTTCTCCCCATGTCTTGTGTTGGTGAGTGGTGCTCATGCGTGCAACACATCTGCTGGCCCAACACAGAATGATTATTTTCTTGCTACGTTTCCCATTTTTGTTTGCCAGCATTCACTGCTTCTACGTGCCTGACTGCCCCTCTCCCTTTGTCCCCTGTCTGCACGTCTTCTCCCTTGCGTCGGGGTCACAGACCTTGTGTGTGCTGCAGCTGCACCTGTTGCTTGCCCGACTGACTGGCGCTGCCAGGGTCTGAAGTGTGCAGCACCTGCTGTCTCCAATTGCAATGGCTACCTCTGCACCCCGTAGCAGGGTTGTTGCACATTACAGCCTGCGAAACAGCTACCAAGCCATTTGCAAGAACTAGATTAGCCCTAAACGGAATGTACCTCTTCGTAGTACATGACTAGCTATGACTTTTTTCATTCCAGTCAACTGTGCCTAGAGTTTGTTTTTTGGGAAACGGTTATCAAGCCGTTATTGAGGACTACGTTAGCCCTAAGGGGAATGTACCCCCTCAGAGTACATGGCTAGCTAGGACTATTTTCCTGTTGAACCTTGCTTTTGTGTAAACAGTGTCTATAGTTTGTTTTCTGTGAAGACCGATTACAGATATTGGCTTATGTTTGCCAGGCAAAGGATCTACCCGCAGGTCTTGAACTTGAAGTACTCGGATTTTCAACGCCAGCGTACCGTATTCTCCCAGGTATAAGACCCTAGGGTCTTATACCATATCCCTAGAAAAAAAGGGGTGGGGGGTGGGGAGGGGTGTCCCTTAACAACGGTAAATATATATATATATTTATATATATATATTTGGGTGTTTTCATATGGCATATGTTTTTTTTGCTGCTTTGAACGCTACGGTTAATACTAAAGTTGTGGGTTGGTTTTTGGTGAGCACGAAATCTGCAAAACATTGTTCACTGTCAGGTGGTCTTGACTAGTCAGGGAAGATTTGCCTCACAAAGAAATCGCTCTTGACGTAGCAGATTCACCCCTCGACACAGCGAATTCCACCCCTGACACAGCAGATTCGCCCCCTAACACTGTGAATTTGCTATGTGAAACAGCAACTACACTTAAGAGCAGTTCAAACTCGCACCCTAGCATGGGAAATATGCATGGGAAACCACACTATAGTAGAAAGAGGGCGGGGGGGGGGGGGGGGGGGGGGGGGGGGGCTCTTATATTGATCACCCCCTACTAGCTACCTGGGGGTGTTGTATCTGGAGGAATACATTAAGATGGCTTTGACAGCCTTGGGGCAACCACGTGCCAACAAGAGCCTAAAAAGTGCAAACCACGTGCCACACCCAAACCACGTGCCACGCGATAGTGGAGGCACGGTTCGACGATTTTGAACAGATAGACGAACCCAATCAGCTGCATGTAACCAAACATCGTCGATGCTGTTTCAAACGTTTTGTCTTTTTGCCGGTCGCATGAAGTCCACCCTGGCACTCACGCGATGTCGACAAAGATCCTTCTCCTACGTGGCATTCCAAATAATGTGCTTTGTGCACTATTGCTGGGGGAACTTCAGTTGGGACCCCGAGGCTGTGAACATTATCTAAGGCCAGCCTGGAAACTCGTGCCGAACCTGTCAATTCTGTCAAATCCAAACGAGATCGAGAACGCTCTTGGTTAGTAACAGGAATAAAGGTGCTCTTCTATTGGCGCACCACAGCAGATAATGGCGTTTTTGGATTCCTCCATCAACATCAGTGGTGCGTCGGTTCAGGTAGGGCATTGTACAAACCTGGGCGCATCAACTTAACTGCGAAAACATGCAGAACATTACTTTTTGTGACATTGTACCTTAACCACTCGGGTGTTCCAGGTCATTTTCTCGCCAGGCAAAAGGTCCGCACAACTGGTGCAGCCTCTCGAGATGGAATCACCTCCGCACCACGGGTGCGGTTATGTTGGTCGATGGACGCCATGCTTTTACTGTATCCAGCTCCTTCGGGTCAATTTCGACCCTAGACTCAGAAATGATGTGCCCCATAAATGTTAGAATCTAGCAGTAGGAATGGTTGGACTAGCAGGATGCAGGAGTACAAGTAGTAAACCCTAATTGGGTTGTACCCCATGTGGGCTACCCCACTACAGCCTAGACAATATGCAGCATATATAGTTTGACACACCCCCATAGGCAAAGTGGGGGAGAACAAGGGGTCACACGACCAGTCAAGAGAAACAAAGCAAGCTCAGGGTGGATCACAACGTCACCACACATTCTGAGCACAAGCAAAGGGCCACAAGGCCAGTTCACATGCAGAGATATATATGCAGCAATAACAGTACAGTGATGACTACCTAGCAAGAGCCAACATGCAGGTATATATATAGATCACAGTACAAGCAGAGACTACAGCAAGTGTGGAAACGTAGGCACAAGGCCCAACAAAGTACAAAAGCGCTGATGATCACCAGACGGAAGTGCCTTGGTGAATATATCAGCAGTGTTGGCCCGAGTGGCCACGTGGCGAAGACGAAGCTGGCCTCGCTGCTGCAACTCTCGAGCCAGGAAGTAACGCAGAGCGATGTGCTTCGTTCTGTGCTCCAGTATGTGCTCCTCACACAAGGCAATGGCCGCCTTGTTGTCAATGTACAGAACAAGAGGAGAACGAGGCCGCTCGCCCAAGTCAGTCAGCAGGTAGGTGAGCCAGCGTAGCTCCTGTGCAGCCATGGCGGTGGCGTAGATCTCAGCCTCACAACTGGAGCTGAGAACAGAAGACGAGCGTGTAGACCGCCAAGAAACAGAGCCAGAGCCAAGGCTGAAGGTGTAACCCTGTGACGACCGCTGTGTAGTCTGGTCGTCAACCCAAGACGCGTCTGAGTGCCCAGTGAGGACCACCTCACTCCGTCCTCCAAGCACGAGCCCCATGCCTGATGTACTGCACAGGTAGCGCAACACCCTCTTGGCAGCATCCATGTGCACCTTTCGGTGCCTGCCAGGAGCCACGTAACGAGCCAAAAGTCCAAGTGGGTATGCGAGGTCAGGTCGAGTGCAGGTCATCAGGTACATGAGGCAACCAACTAGCTCTGGGTAAGGACCACTCGGCTCTACGGACTCGTCCGAAGGTGGAGCTGAGAGCGAGTGACCTGTAGCCAGAGGAGTGGGCTGTGGGGAGGACCAGGAGAAGCCGAAGCGCTGAAGGACCTGCTGCACCATGTGTGACTGAGTCAGGGTGATGGTGTGCCGTGCTCTGTCCCAGGTGATCTGCAAGCCAAGGTAGCTGCACAGCTCACCCAGATCTGTGCACGTGTGTCTCTTCTGCAGCTCCGACTTCACCTGAGCGAGAGCCTCAGTGTCAGCAGTGGCAAAGACCAAGTCGTCGACGTACATGAGGATGTAGAACGGCGGCAGCGAAGTGTCGGTGCACAGAAACAGCGACGGGTCAGCAGTCAAAGGAGCAAACCCAAGAGCCGCAAGTGTCGTCCTCAGTGTGTCGTGCCACTCACGAGGCGCCTGGCGGAGACCGTAGACTGGCCGCCGGAGGCTCCACTAGGTACCAGGAGGGAACGACCCAGTGAAGCCAGGTGGGCGGCGCAACCAGATCTCCTCGTGCAGGCTGCCCTGTAAGAAGGCTGTGCTGAAGTCAAGAGAGTGAAGCTCGTAGTCACGCTGAGCGGCAACGTGCAGCAGCACCCAAAGAGTGGTCATCTTCCGGGTGGGGGAGAAGGTCTGGAAGAAGTCTACTCCCTCTCGCTGACTGAAGCCTCTAGCAACGTAACGAGCCTTGAAGACAGGCGGAGAACCCGGCGGCCGCTTCACCCTGAAAATCCACATGCCATCGACGATGTTCACCCCAGGAGGGGGAACCTCATCGACGTAAGTGCCTGTGGACTTCCAGGATGCCATCTCTGCATCCATGGCTGTCTGCCACTGAGAGGAGTACTCACCCGCGATCGCCTCAGCGTAAGAGCGCGGGGTCGGGATGTCTGGTGCATCCGGGTCTCCCTAAGGGGCAAGCAGCATGGCCACGAGATGAGGCGCAGCAGCCGCAAGACACTCAAGGTCCTCGTGCCTGTCCTCAAGGACGTCCGTGCTAAGAGCACACTCACCCCCGACGGACGGAGGACAGACAGACTCAGACTCAGCAACAAGACTGGCAGTGAAGTCTAGACGACAGGCAGCAGCAAAGTCAACAAGCTCAGCGACCAGGGCAGACGCAGCAGTAGACTCAAACGACGAGTCAGTGACAACAGTGGCTAGCAGACGCGTGACAGTAGGGTGCTCAGCACGAAACCGGTCAGACTCAGGATCCGCGACGTCAGGCAAAGAGGACGCAGGAGGAGACGGAAGAGGAGTACGCTCCAGAGGAGAGGACCGACGCAGTGCGACAAGGCGTGTGCCGGGGACAGCCGGCTGACGCTGACGAGGAACACGACGAACGGTACGACAAGGACGAACAGGCGAGACAGGACGCGACGCAGGCTCACGACACTCAGCAAGACCCCCTGGCTACTCAGTGTAAGGAGAAGGAGCAGGCAGCGGAGAGCCAGGCAGTAACTGTAGACCAGTAGAAGACGGGAGGTCAAGAACCTGGCGAAGGGCAGAGCCAGACGGTGGCTGAGACGACGGAGACGGCGGAGCGAAGAAAAGTCGAGTCGGTGCAGTGCCACCAGCACCAGCAGCTCCAGCACCTCCAGTAGCTCCAGCACCTCCAGCAGCACCAGAACCCTCAGCGCCAGCTCCTCCAGGGCCAGCTCCACCAGCAGCAGCACCCCCAGAACCGGCACCCCCAGTCCCAGGGTCTCCAGCCGCAGTGTCCCCAGCAGCAGCACCCGCAGGCTCAGCACCTCCAGCCCCAGTAGCACCAGTACCCCCAGTACGAGCACCTCCGAGACCAGCACCACTCCCAGCTCCAGTGACGTCACCAGAAGGACCTTAAGTAGGAGAGCCCCGAGCTCCAGAAGCGCGACCCTGACGGCGACCGTACCAGTCGTGCAGCTGCTGGGAGGTGAGAGGCGTACGCGGACGAAGGCGGCCACTCCAAGGAGACCGCGCAACAGCAGACTCAGAACCCTCAGCGCCAGCACCCTCAGCAGCTCCAGAACCTCCAGTGCCAGCACCCTCAGCAGCTCCAGAACCCCCAGCTCCAGCGCCACCAGCACCAGGACCTCCAGCAGCTCCAGAACCTCCAGCGCCAGCACCCCCAGACTCCTCACACTCAGGCTCAGCACCTCCAGGCTCCACACCCTCAAGCTCCACACCCCCAGGCTCAGCAACCCCACGCTCAGCACCCCCAGGCTCCGCACCCCCAGAAGGAACACCCCGAGCAGGACCACCCTCAGCAGGACCTGAGTCACCAGTGACCTCAACCGGCGCAGTCAAGGGAGGAGGGTCTACCTAAGACACACCTGAAGGAGCAGGACCTGACGCGAGGAGGGGGTCTACCTGGGGAGCACCTGGAGCGAGGAAGAGCGGCGGGGGGGGGGGGGGGAGGGGCAGTGCGGTAGGGGAAGAGACGGTAAAAGGGAACTGACTCGTCGAACGTGACGTCCTGAGACGCAAAGACACGGCGCGAGGTGGGGTGGTAAAACTGCCAACCAGGCGCGTCAGGGACAAAGCCAAGGAAGACACAGGGAACAGCGCGAGCGGAGAGCTTGTCCGCGGTGGTATCGCGGACAAAGGCACGAGCACCCCAGACCCGGAAACGCGACGCATCGCCAACCTCCCCCGTCCACAGCAGTGTGGGCGAGGTCTCCGGCAAGGAGACACGGGGCCAGAGGTTGAGCTGATGCGCGGCGTACCGGACCGCAAACGGCCACAGAAAATGGGGGGCGGCCGCATGGATCATGGAGGTACGAGCGACCTCCATGACTAAGCCAATGCGGCGCTCAGCAACCCCATTCTGCTGCGGAGAGGCCGGAAGCGTGAACGACTGGGTGATGCCGTGCTCCGCACAGTAGGCTGCCAAGAGGTCTGAGGTGAACTCACCACCTCTGTCAGAGTGCAGACGCAGGACAGGAAAATCCCGCCGGAACCGCTCGCGGAGCTGGAGACGAACAGCGCGGATCCAAGGGATCAAAACATCAGGGACGTCCCCCTTGCTCTGCAAGGGGAAGACCGTGGTGTAACGCGTGTAGTCGTCGACGACCAGCAGGAAGTACCGCTCGTGGCCCTGTCCACGGACGCGGGCTGGGCCCCACACGTCCAGGTGGAGAGTCTGCAGGGGAGCCTCTGTGGGAGGGAACGAGGAGGAGTGAGGAGCGGCGCGCTGCCGCCCCTCGACGCAAGGAATGCAGGGCGGCGCAGGCGAGGGAGGGAGGGCAGGCAGGGACCTGGGAAGACCAGAGACCAGGGAGCGAGAGTGCATGCTACGAAGACGAGGCAGGGAGGGGTGACCAAGGCGGTGGTGCCACAGGAGAGTGTCGTGCGACAAAGCGCGACACTCGCAGGGGGCTGCCAGCTGACCTGACGCAGACGCAGACGCAGCCACCTGAGGGGACGCAGTGGTCAGTGTGTACAGACTCGAGCCAGGCGCACGGGTAAACGTGGCCAGGTGTTGGCCCGTCCGAGCACACGTACAGTGAGTCACTCGCTGACTCGCAGGAGTGAACTGGTGAACCCCCCTATCCTGGAGGTCAGCTCCACTCACCAAGTTCGTAGAGAACGAGGGGAGGTAAAGACCTGACAGCGAGCCAGACGGGGCGGCCGGACACGGCAAAACCGTGGAGTAGTGGGCAAGGACTGGACCCCCAGAGGGGTCCGCCAGGGAGACTGGAACTGGCCGACTAAGCAGCGAGAGTTTGGTGCAGTCGCGAAAGAAGGAGCGGGAAGCTCCTGAGTCAAGGGTGAAGGTGTGCAAGACCGCAGCAGGCGCAGTACCAGAGAGAGCAGACTCACCAGTACCTGGAGCAGCAGCCTCACCAGCACCTAGAGCAGGAGACACACTAGCACCTAGAGCAGCAGCCTCACCAGCACCGAGAGCAGGAGACGCACGAGCACCGAGAGCAGCAGGCGCTATACCAGGGTTAGGCGGTACGCACAGGGAACAGGCACGGTCAACACTAGTAGGCAATGCATACATGGCAGTGAGAATAGCATCATAGTCAAGAGCAAAGATATCAACCCTCTGTCGAATCAGCTCCACCCAGGTAGGGAGCTCAGCCTCGTCGCCAAACACGGTACGCCAGGCGTCGCTCAGACGGGCGAAGCAGCGGGACGGTGTGTGACCAAGCGTCCCGCAAGGCTGACCAGTCCTAACACCTGTGCGAATGACGTACGGGCAGCGAACGGTACGCGAAGACCTGCTACACTGAGCGTACCACTCCTGGAGCTGCCGGGGCATAAGTGTCTCGCGTGGACGCCCCTGCAGCTGCAGCTGGCCACTGCCAGACGCCCCCAACTGACCAGCTCCAGGGCGACTGCTACGACGGCTACCTCGACAGCCCCAACTAGTATACCACTCATCAAGCTGCTGGGGCGTGAGAGACTCGCGGGAACGACGCTGGAGCTGCATCTGGCCACCTGCTAATAGCAGGAATAGTAGCAGCAGCTCGGGCAGCTCAGGCAGGTGCGGCAGGCAGGCAGACAGGCCGGCAGGCAGGCAGGCAGACAGGCCGACAGGCAGGCTGGCAGACAGGTAGGCCGGCAGGTAGGTAGGCAGGCAGGCAGGCAGGCAGGCAGGCAGACAGGCCGGCAGGCAGACAGGCCGGCAGGCAGACAGGCAGGCAGGCCAACAGGCAGGCAGGCAGACAGGCAGGCCGGCAGGCAGGCAGGCCAACAGGCAGGCAGGCAGACAGGCAGGCCGGCAGGCAGACAGGCAGGCAGGCCGGCAGGCAGGCAGGCAGGTGCTCACCAAAGGCTGGAAAGGGCAGGCGCTCGGCGGGTGAGCAGGGCCGGCGCTCGGCGGGCGGCGGCCGGGTAGGCGCACGACGGCGGCGACGGCGGGGCCGCAACAGCGGCTGCAGAGTAGGGCCGCGGCAGCTGCAGGGCGGGACCGCTTCAGCGGCAGTCGCAGGGTGGGGCCGCGTCAGCGGCAGGTCGGGGTCGCGGCAGCTGCAGGGCGGGGCCGCATCAGCGGCAGGTCGGGGCCGAGGGCCGCATCGGCAGCAGAGGGCCGCGCGCGGCTCGGCGCAGGCTGCGCGGACAGCGCGCTGGACTGCTGCAGGACGTGCGCGGGTCGCGTGAGGCAGTAGCGGGCCGCGCGCGGCTCGGCGCGGGATGCTGCGGGCCGCGCGAGGCAGTAGCGGGCCGCGCGCGGCTCGGCGCGGGCTGCGCGCGGCAGCAGCGGGCTGCGCGCGGCTCGGCGCGAGCTGCACGGGCTCGGCGCGGGCTGCGCGCGGCAGCAGCGGGCTGCGCGCGGCTCGGCGCGGGCTGCGCGGGCTCGGTGCGGGCAGCGCGCGGCAGCAGCGGGCTGCGCGCGGCTCGGCGCGGGCTGCGCGGGCTCGGTGCGGGCAGCGCGCGGCAGCAGGGGGCCTGACGGGCCTAGGGGCGGTTCGCGAGCCTAGGGCAGCAGGAGGCAGCGTTAGGGCTGCAGGACGGCGCGCGCAGCGCAGCACGTCACAAGGCAAGGCAAGGCAGGCAGGTACGTGGGGTAGCGCGGTAACCGCAGCGGTAGGTGGGCCCGAAAAAAAAACGGTCCTACGGACCTTAGTGCTCAGAAACCATGTTAGAATCTAGCAGTAGGAATGGTTGGACTAGCAGGATGCAGGAGTACAAGTAGTAAACCCTAATTGGGTTGTACCCCATGTGGGCTACCCCACTACAGCCTAGACAATAAGCAGCATGTATAGTTTGACAATAAAATCTAATCGGTCCTGAAAAAACTCGCACTTCGAACCCTTGGTCAGTAGGCGATGTTCGTCAAAATCTTAAACACGGCTGCTAAGCATGCTAAATGCTGCTGCTTGTCGCGGCTGTAGACCAGAATGTCGTCAAAGAAAACTATCATGGATTAATCTAAACGCGGTCTAAACGTCTCGTTCATGTTCATCTGAAATGTCGCCGATGCGTTGGTCAGCCCGAATGGCATCACAGTACACTGGAATGACCCGTACCTAGTCCTAAATGCCATCTTGGCGCAGTCGGATGGTTCTGTCAGAACTTAGGCTTAGAACTGATACATTAGTAGTGAGCTCAAAGCTCTTTAAGTACATCAGAAATGAGCAAGGTATGGATGAGGAGGGAATCAGGGGGCAATCCTAGGGAATCAAGGGTAATCCCAAGGCAATCTCCAATTGGTGGGTTGGAGATTGCTTGGAGATTACATTTGGGTTTGGTTGGGATGTGGGTGTACACCCAACCAAACACGAAGTGCAAACTACACTAAGCCAGGATATAAAAGTACAAGTACAAAATGTGAGATTGGGGGCTAACACCAACACCCCCCCCATAGGCGTCAATCGAACTCATGGCGGAGAAGGAGGAGCGCAGAGCCCCATGGTGCCTAGAAGGCGATGGTGAGGGACCTTCCCAAGGGGCTTGGTGAATAGATTAGCCAAGTTGCAGTCAGAAGCCACATACTTCACATTGAGTTGCTCTCGCTAGACAAGGTCACAGATGAAGAAGTGGCGAATTTCGATGTGCTTGGTGCGAGTGTGGTACACGGGATCCTGGGAGAGGTGGATGGTGCTCTGGTTGTCACACCAGAGGGTGAGAGTGGACTGAGAAAAGCCAAGCTCCTGGAGTAGGAAGGTGAGCCAGCAAGCCTCCTGGGCCGCCATGGTGCCGGCATAGAGCTCGGCTTCACAGGAGGAGAGGGAGACTGCAGTCGACCGGGTGGAGCGCCAGCTGACAATCCCGCTCCCAAGGGTGAAGCAGTAGCCTTGGGAGGAGCGTCGGTCGGTCTGGTCATCTGCCCAGGAGGAGTCTGTGTAAACTTCCAGACGAGGAGGGGAAAGTCCACCAAGGGTGAGGACATGGGACTTGGTGCCCTGCAGATAGCGCAGCACCCGCTTTGCCGCTTTCCAATGAAGAAATGTGAAGCTCTCAGGGGCCACATATCGAGAGAGGACACTGACAGGGTATGCCAAGTCAGGCCGGGTGCACATCATGGCGTACATGAGGGACCCAACAAGCTCTGGGTACGGCTCAGTGCATGCCTCTGGTGTGGGTACAGCTGGGGCGGTGAGGAGGTATTGCAGCGGCAGTGGGGTGGCGATAGGTTTGCACAGCTCCATCTCGAACTGCTTGAGCACATTGTTGATTGTAGAACTCCTGGGAAAGAGAGATGGTGCGAGCCTGGCGATCGCAAGTGATCTCCATCCCAGGTAGTGTTTGAGGTCACCGAGGTCTTTCATCAAGAGGGCCTTGCTTAGGGCCTCCTGAACAGAGGCCATCTGGGCCGAGTCCTTGGCAACGAGGATGAAGTCATCGACGTAGACAAGGATGTAGAATGGCTCAGAGTGGCGACGAATGAAGAGGGTCGGGTCGGCAGAGGATGGGTGAAAGTTCAGTGAGAGGACTTCTTTCACTTTGTTGTGCCATTCCCGAGGGGCTTGCTTGAGGCCGTAGACAGGGCGATTCAGCTTCCAGACAGTGTTGGGAGGGAACTCTCCTGGAAAGCCTTCAGGTCGATCCATGAATACGGTTTCCTTGACGCGTCCTTGCAGGAAGGCCGAAGAGGCGTCCATGGATTTGATCTCAAAGTCTTCTCGTGCTGCTACATCCAAGAGCGTGCGAACAGTGGGTGGTTTGGATGTGGGGGAGAAGGTTTTGAAGAAATCCAGGTAGTGCTGCTAGGTGAACCCTTTGGCCATGTAACGCGCGTTGAACACCGGGGCCTCGTCCGGAAGCTGTTTCACTCGAAAGAGCCACTTGCCACCAACGATGTTAACTCTTGGAGGTGGAGTTTCGTCATCGAATGAGTGGTTG